GTTAAATATAGAGAACAATGAAACAATACGGCTGTATTATTCTTGTCTGTTCTTCATGCACACTATTGTTGCTGTGTTCAATGTACCTGGATATTTGTTGCACAAATACAATGAAAGCCTTGTTGTGTTTCCCTAGAGGGAGGTTCGATCTATCAAGATGGCCCTTTCTTTGGTCTGTGTTAGCCTACTGTGCATGGAGAGCACTGCTGGTGAAACCTGCAGACAGTTACGTTTGTCATTAATTTAAACCATTCTTTGGTGGTTAGCCCAGGGCCAGCATAGCAACTAATGAAGTGCGACTGCTAGAGCTGTAGTGCTAATAAAAAAAATCTATTTTAAAAAATCCAGATCTATATATTGCTATGCATTGAATGCACAACCCCAATTTCAGATGAAATTGGCATTTTTAAACTGTTATTTCATATATATATGACCATGGAAGTGACCAACTGAAACATATGATGGCCTCTACCCTGTGCAAAATGTTGGGTAGCCTATGCCAAAATTGCATGGCAGCAGACCATATCTGGGTATGAGTGTGCCGCAATCCAGATACTGTCAAAATTCAAAGATAACCCCCCATTTTTTAAAGACCTCCAAGGAATGTGGGTGGATGCTGGCAGGCCCCTCCAGAATAATCGTTCCCAATGGGTAAGTCACAATGAACCTTTTCAAACATTTGACTTGCTGTCATATAGAACTTCTTTTCTTTTCTCCAAAGCAAAACTGAGGTCTCCTTTATGGCCGTAGAACAGCGGTTCTTAACCTTTTCTTTACCATGGACCCCCTTTAAATATCTTCTGTTGCTGCAGACTACCAAGACTTAGGTAAAGGTAAAGGTTCCTCTTGACCTTTAGTCCAGCCGTGTCCGACTCATCCCCGTTTCCAAGCTGTAGAGCCAGCATTTGTCCGTAGACCCATGGTCATGTGGACAGCACAATTAGACACGGAACGCTGTTACCTTCCCAGCGTGGTGGTACCTATTTATCTACTCGCATTTACTAGAAACCGGGCTTTCTCGGCGGTGGCTCCTCGTCTCTGGAATAACCTACCTCCGGAGATTCGCGCTGCACCCTCGCTGGGTACTTTTAAGAACCAACTAAAAACATGGATGTTTAGGCAGGCCTTCCTTTCCAGTTAATTCCTGTCCTCTTTCCTTTTTCCCCTCTTTATTTGATTCGCAGTGCTCATCCCCGTTTCCAAGCTGTAGAGCCAGCGTTTGTCTGTAGACCCATGGTCATGTGGACAGCGCAATTAGACACGGAATGCTGTTACCTTCCCAGCGTGGTGGTACCTATTTATCTACTCGCATTTACATGCTTTCAAACTGCTAGGTTGGCAGGCACCAAGACTTAACTTAAGATTTAAAACCCTAAAGATCAAATATTTCTTTAAAGTTTCTCATGAAAGGTCTTCAAATTTGGAGAGAAGGGTGAAATAAGTTATTCTGTTAATACTCACATTCCTATTTTAATATTTTTATCGACATGATTCCATACAAATGTAAAACAGCAGCAGCAGCAGCAACAACAACAATCTTTAATTCTTGCTGGAGAACCTGAAATTACAAGCACATAAAATCATTAATATGACACAGCTATACAAAACTTCAAATGAAACGAAAGCTAGAAATGACATGAATATAATTTGTACAAAGTTGTACTGTACATTAAATAGAAGTTGGGTGGGGGAAAAGGAACAAATTCTATTCATATAATTATAATTAATTATAATTTGCAAGCCTTGTTATATCAGACTTAATAGCTGAAACTTGTATTCTGAGTTCTGGCTCTACATTTTTCAGATGGTTCCTGAACTTATTTTTAAGATATACGAGAGCAGAGACTGATTTTTCGCACAAGTATGTATGTTGTTACAAAAGGCATCAATACTTTCATAGCCCTCTTTGACAGTTCTGGAAAATCTGCTTGTAGGTGAGCCCAGAAATTTGGAAGGGACTGTTCCTTGAACTGCAATTTCAGAGCCCCATCCATTGGTATTTCTATGAGCTTGTCTTCCTCTGCTGCTGTGAGCCCCTCTAGTTCACACACATTAACTGAAAAGGGATCTCTAATCCAGTTTTTGCTTGCATCCGGAACAGAAAAATATTCACGGAAACCATGCTGCAAATCTTCCAAATGTCATGCCATAAGTAATGTGTAGTCCTTAGACAACACTTCCTTGGTGGAACCAAGAATATTTATGAGGTCCAGAAATGTGCCACAATTCCAAAATTTTGATCATGGTTTCAATCTTGTCTTCAACTTGAAAAACTTTAAAGTTTTCTCCTGGAAGATTTAAGTTGAACATATTTAAATGGGTAAAGATACCTGACAGATATGCTAATTTGGCTAACCAGGAAAAATCTGTCCAACAATCCCTGAAGTGAAACTGCTTCTCCATGAATCATCTTATCTCTCAATTCCTAAAAACAAGATGAAACTTTGCCTTGTGATAGCCAATGAACTTCACAATGTAGCAAAAGTTGGTGGTGTTCACTGTCCATATCTTTGCAAAGCTGTTCAAAAGTCTTGAATTCAGTGATTTGCTTTTTATAAAATTGAGAATTTTGACTGATTCATTTAAGGTCTGCTTTAGTTTTTCTGGTATCTTCTTAGCAACTAGAGCTTCCCTTTGTATGCATCAATGGTAGCAAGTCGGCGGTGGTATGATTTCCTTAATCCGTGCTACAAGTAAGGTCCACCGAATGTGAAATTGCAAGATCAAGTAGGATGACACAGAGCTATGCCCCACCTGGTGGGAATAAACACTCTGTAGATGCCAACTAAAAGACAAAAAGATTGCTTTATAATGATTATTTGCCTTTCCTTTCATGGAAATCAATGTACGTAGAAGATATTATTAGCTAGAAATCAAAATAGTGATGAACCTTCAAAAATGAACAACAGGACAGGTGATAAGCAATTTATCAATACAGCTATAGTGATTTTTTTAAAAGGCAAGGTGAAAAGGCCACGTACAGTGGCCACCATGAC